CTGAAGAGCTGTCGGCTTTTGCTAATTCAGCTTATAGCGGGTGTATGTACCGCTTGCTGAACGTTGGTGGATGTGGGTTCCCATTGCGGCACGTATAGTACTCATGCATGTTCTACCTTTGACGCAGCGCTAGCTACCGCCTTTTTGTCGCATGATAACTGTAACTTCCTCACAGCGCTCGCTGGAGCGCCATGAGTGGTTTTTCCATAGAGTTGCCCTCACCTCTTCCCAGCCACAATTGAAGGCGCTTTCAGGCAACTGTGTTCAACGTGCTTCACGCGTCCGTCTGCTCCTACCCGCTACCATGGCTTTTGATTTAAGCTCTGTCTCCAAGTCTGGTCATCCAGTCTTTTTGGGCTCTATCAGCGCGCAGTGACTCTACTCTTATAAGGTCATGAAGCCGAGCAGAAAGGGGAGTCATCTGCATAAACTGATTATAGGTGAAGCCGTTCACCACGAACCATCCTTAGAGTGGATTCGACAAGACACACATGTCAGAAGTACCGCCTCATCGCCAAAGGGACCGCCCCCTCCGACCCAGGAAAAACCACCTCCAAGCATCGATAGCAAGCGTGATACTCTTACTTCTTCATCTATGAAGTAGAATTGTCATTACATGGCTGGTATGCATTCATGCATGCAACCGTATCTACCAGGTGATTGCTGACACGGTGTCAACGAGAAACTCATCCTCTTTGTACGTTTTTGATCGTTCCGCTTCGTTTTCAGTCACCCCCCCCCTAGTTAGCATCCCGTTAGCATTTTAGATTGATTGTGAGTACGTGCAGTATCGTGCATGGTTTATGGTAAGAGTCAAACTGTCCTTCATGACGTACTTCTGAAAGTGATACCAGTAGTGCTCAGTCAACAGAAAAATAATATTTTCTGATTCAGATGTAGTGGTGGGTGGCCAATCGAAGCTTGGAAATATTTCATTTATGCAGGTCTTGTGACCGGTGGAAACTATAAATCAAAGGTTCGTTTATACAAGGTCATATTATGATCAGTGAAGATGAAAAAAGAGAAACAAGATGAAGGGATGACAGGGTTGCTGCCGCCCCTATGAAATTCATCCATGTGGACATCATGGAAATGAGCCGTACTACGGAGAGTGTCCCGACAATGCGCCTACTCCGCCATGCAGGAAGAGATGCCAGGCCGGTTACCGCAAGTCATTCCCAAGGGATAAATACTTCGGTACGTGGCCGATAGCTTAATAGCATCGGATTTCATCATTGTATCTTCACACTTTCGCACAGTCATCTCAAAATAAACTCGTGAACTGCTTGAAAATTGCTTGAAAATTTTGGCTCAATTCTGCTTGCTTACGTGATAAAGCGCATCTGGGTGGGCACATTACATGGGCCCGGAAGTAGTATCTATCCCTACATACACATTCACTTGAATATTCTTGTATCCGATATAAAATACCATGGTATACTGATGGTGAGATATAATGAGAACGCACATTTGAGCCTGAGCATGAAGAATGGGTAAAAATAGCCAAAAGAAGTGCTGTGAGCATTCACAGTACGGAGAGATGCACTTTTCACTACAGCATGGGTTACGATATATAGGACTAACATCCTAAGCCTATAATTTTGCCAGTTAAAGGTAGTGCCCGCGATCAGGTTACAATCCCCTATCCTTTGGAGAGTAGACTGCTGCACAGAGGCAGCGACTGACCACTTCATCCGCGGAAAAGGAGTTAGGAATTCGATGATGCAGTCGTTCTATAATCTGATGGCTCTACCTGCTTTCATTGGCCCTGCCCTCCACCACTTAGTATGAAACATCAGATTGAAGGCAGGGCACGCACATCATTTGTGTCATCACACAACGGGGGGGTCGTGAACTTTGCCCGCTGATGGAGGGGGGGGGAGGCTCGAAACAGCAATGGCCCCCACACACGTTGAAGTGGAGAGAGCGGTATACCGGCACAAGTGAAAGAGCTCAAGCCGATCAAAAAAGATAGCCCCACAAATAGAACTAAAAAACGCCCACTAATCCAGACTTTCCTAGGACCAAAAAACAAATATTGGCGGAAAAACTTTTCCTCCTTCCAAAACAACTAATAAAACACACAAAAATAAGAGAACAACCAACAACACTTATAACTAGACAAAGATATCCATACTATAAAACCCAAAATTAAGAAAATCAATGCAGCAACAAAAAACCTAGAACTGACCCTCACTCCACAGAATCAACTCAACAAAACAAAATAACTCAACAAAACAAACATCAAAAATAATTAAAATCAATGGATAAGAAAAATAAGAAAAAGAAAAAACTCACCAGGCCAGCTGGGAACCGGAACTATGGATTACTTTTGAATTTTGGCTGTTCGCGGTCAGCGCGCTCATACAAGCTCATTGGTGCGCGCTATTTTACGGTTTGGAGCCAATTTCAAGCCAAACACGTGAAAAGTACCCCTCATTTGACACAAACCACATAACTTCGTTGAAAGTGAAGCTATCGGAGAGGGTAAGTGGGAATGAGTAGAGCTAGGTTGGCTCTTGTCACCTGAATTGAGCGATTTCAAAAACGTTCCGATTCCAGAGATTTTCCCCGTTGTGATCATCGTTGTGATCCGTCTGTGATCATTTTTGCGAACCGCGAGTCGCTACGCTTTGGACGTCCATGGCAAGCTTCATACACGGCCTTTCGTAAAAAAAGAACTGTGCCGGAAGCTTGAAGATTTCTACTTTCCAGCAGGGCTTTCACATTATTCTTCTTCGCTAGGCTGCTATTTCGAAAAATCTCACACGTTGTGCCCCTGTAAAATCCCCCCACCGCCACGAAAAATCACCCCCCACCTCCCGAGGCCAGGAACCTCCTGTTGCTCGAGATACACACAGACATAACTCTCCATCAGTATACAGGCAAAAGGTATCCGGAAATAGGACCCTGGGCGCCAATTAGCATCAGCCCTCATGTTCAGATGCGCCATGCATGAGCTTTCACGCAGGCTGTTTGATCGGAAGGTGAACTTCTAGATAGGGCTTCCCAATTGCAAGCAAATGTGCTCCTGCAATCAGAAAAGTCCGGGAATGTACTTTCCTCTGTTTATTCATCGTCAGTCGTAAGTCCATTTTTTATAAATTCATGGTGTCCTTGTGGGCGGTGATGGTAGCTCCTATCATCGCCCCTTCCTCGTACGTATTGTCAGTATGCTACACCAGCGCCAGAGTGCTGGACGTCTGGACGTTGGGACGTACGTAGGTACTGCGACCTCCCCCCCCCCCCCCCCTTCTCCCCCCTCGACAGCAAAATTTTGTAAAAAAACCAGAAATTTTTTTGGGAAAAAATAGACAAAGTGGTAGGAGGTTGGAAAAATCTCTAGGGAAGAGGTAACATGGGGAGGGGGTCGTACTTGAAGATGGAATTAGGGGGGGGGGTCGTTATTTTTTCAAGGAACATATCACAAACGCAATGCGTGCCCCTGGTTAGAGGCGTCGATCACAACACACAATTTGGTCCGTCGACCTCGTCCGATCGCTGCTCGCCCTCAGTTCGTATAAATGCCCTCCACAAGAGGGTTTAATTTGAGGCATGTTAGCAAACGATTTTCTGTTCTCCTTTTCTCACAACATCGGATTCTTTGCACTATGGTATTCACAGGTGAGCCCACTAACCATGTGATCTGATCGCGGGTTCCACGCATCGACCAAGGGACATAGACGTGGCCAATCTCAAATACTACCATCGCGCAGTTTCCTTTTGGCCACAAAGCTTCGGGTGTAGCTTAGGACTCCACGAGAGGTCACGACTGCCATGTCTCGCCTCGCCGCGCGCGGCGATTGCAACTGATTTTAAAACCAGACGGCAACATGTCCATCGCGCACTTTAAGATCCCGGTTCCTTCAGCATAGTTCTGGCATCACGAACACACACACACGAATCTGCTTGAGATTTTCCATAACGGAAGAATATTCAATGGGACACAATATTTTGAATGGCAGCTGTAGTTATTCGATCGAGGTTGCTCACAATATTTCTTTCAATACATACTTTTACCGTCCTGGCCGACAGAATGCTTAAACTCATTACAAATCTTACAATTTGAGGTCCCACAACAACAAAAGAAGGATTCACCCTGAAAAGAATTTTCGTAGATTGCTGATGTATTCTCTAAATATTATTTCTATGTTAATGGGCGTTGTTTTATACTAGTAGTTGAATATCGGGCCCATTCCTTTCATAGCCTTCACACCTGCAAGTATAAAGCAGGCGGTTGAAAATCTCATGAACTATGCAAATGCAAAAAATACATAGCGAAAGCAATCAAACACGCGGAGAGCACCTCCCGGCGGCAGGCAACAGACACTCCGATGGAGATCCTAAACGCGATTCCCGCCCCACATAGCTTCCTGCCGTGGCTTAATGACATCGAGGGTGATTGCTGCTGACCAACAGCGCTTGACCTCAGTGCGATTGAATACTTTGGGCTCTACTCACTGAATAATTTGGATTTCCAGGCAGAAAAGCTTATCGACTGCCGAATTCGGTGAAGGCCATTCAAAGGGAAATCATGACCAACGGACCGGTTGTCGCTGCGTTCACTACATATGAAGATTTCAAATACTACAAAAGAGGAATTTATAGGGTAACAGTTCCACAAAAAAAGTCTCATTTTCTTCTGAAACCAGAAATATCCTGCATGTCTTTTCAAATTCTAGCTAACCCAAAAAGTCCTAACTTCGGAATCAACGCTCAAAATTTGCTTACAGCACACGGGTGGTGACGCAGTGGGAGGTCATGCTGTGAAGGTGATCGGATGGGGAACGGAAAATGGCGTACCGTATTGGAAATTGCAATCATCATGCACGAGATTGGGGAGAAGATGGTTAATCGTTCTATGAGGTTGGACGGAAGTCTGTCACTTCTTTCAAGTTGGGTTTCTTTTTATAGAGAGGCGTGTAAGATCAAAATTGTAGAGCAATGTCACTGGGGGGGGGGGGTCCTTGCCTGTTTTTGAGCACCTCATGGATGCCATCGCTTCACAGTGCGGGGAGCGCGCGAATTATTCAAAGTTACACCACTACATCTAAATCTTGGCTTGAACTCGAGACCTTTTCAAAGGGTTTTCTCGTATTCCTCGCCAGTAATGATTGATTACGGGAGGCAACTCGCAGTTAGAAGGAGCAATGTCTGTGCTACACCATTGCAAGGGGAGAGCCATCCAGCTCTATTGCATGAGGAACGGCTAGAACTTTTTTGGAAGTGCGCTGCACTATCAGAAGCTCGGAGGGGTCGGTGACGATGGTAGCGGATAACATCATGTCCATAATGGCAAGAAGAGAAGAAAGAAGCAGGACTCAAGCGATGTAACTTAATAAAAGACCACTCTTTGATGTATAAGTGCTCACATTAGATACCGCTCACCCTCTCGAAGGTAATGGACAAATAGTTTGAAGTTTGAAAAAAGTGACAAGAACTTTCGTCCAACCGATAATAGAAATGCCGCCAAAATCTGTGATTATAACTGGGTCGTCTTTTCAGGTATTTCCGCTTCACTACCGTGGAATCAATCAACGAATTGTTGAATTGAAGAAAGAGTGGTGGCAGGGTCGTCCAAGGAACAGTAATGAAACTATCGCTTCCCAAAAGAAATAAATTGAATAAGAGATGAGATGACCTGCACGTGCCACATACACGTAGCAAGATATTGATGATCCTGAGAAGATTTCATTCGCGTTTCGTATGAGGAGCAGGAGAGAGCAAGGTCTAACGCTCCAGGTTCAGGAAAAGGGTTTTCTGTAGGGAATTCATCTGACTATGGCTGCTGTTTTACTGGTCTATGCTGGACATGATTACAGAATTCGCCAAAAACGCACACATCTCACACAGAAGCAAAGTCCGCACTGCAAGTCAAATTAGTGCCATGCCCCTCCCTCATATCTACCGGTTATATCTCTCATTCAGCCACAACAGGTTTGTTATCTTACGACCTAAGGACGGAAGCGCTCTACGCAGCACCTCTACCTGACCCTCAGGGAGATGTTGATAAAGTGAAGTCGGGCTCATCTGGGAGAGCTTGAACAAGGGTTGTACGCCTGGTTTGTGGCTGAGAACGTACCACACAGCAGAAAGGATCTGACCGATGTCACATTCTTTATTCCTTGGGCTTTCTCACAACAAGAGTACAGATCATGTGAGAGCAACTCCACTCTGTAGCTCCGTGTGTCACATGTAGTCCTGCCCTGTGACGCGATAATGATCAAATAAGGGAAAATGTCTGATAAAAGCGCTTAAAGTCACCTCACATCCACAAAGCTCCTGAAAAACGGTATAGAAAAACGGCCAAAAGGCTAAACTAATAGGATTACCGTCCCATGATAAGAAGAGACATGCCTATCATGGAAAGCAAAGAATAGGGAGAGAACGTGAGTTGAACGGGAGCTGCTCAGGCATGGGCCTGTTTGCTCATTCGAAAAAATACTTGTACTTTGATTAGCGTCTCAAGCACTGCTAACCACAGCCGGGATTGTTCTCATTCTCGTCTTATCACGACTGGGAAATAATCCCTTTATGACAGTTTGTCGTCCTGAATATAAGCGCAGACGCTGATGTAGCAGTAGCAGATAACGCTCAACCATGGTGAGTTTTCTTTTGACAATTTTCATTTTTTCTTCTGGGAACAAATTTCCCTGATTAGAGTAATGCATTTTCCAGAGGTACTTTGTGTTTCTACTGGTCTGCGTTTACCTATGCCGAGCCGCCTCTGAAGCCGAATTCCTGGGTTGGTCTTCATTCCTTCCCCATCATTAAAAACAGTGGGCATTGCTCCTGGGGCGGGCGGCCAATTTCATTGGCAGAAGGGCTGAACAAGGTGTGGCCATACGCCCTCTCGCAGCCCTTCCAACAATGACACTGCCGAAATCCGCCCATTCCTAGCAACTGCCCACTGCCTCTGATATCTTGAATGGAGTAATTGTCTTACTCTTACAGCTGCACTGAAAGCTGAGCAGATTCCTCTGGAAGCACAAGTGCTGAGCGGTGAGAAGCTCGTCAAGTACCTCAAGCATAACCAGAATCTCTTCGAGGTGACCCACGATTCTCTGAAGCCTCCAAAAATACCTTCAAGCCCGATTTCAGGTTGACACAAAATCGAGAAAGAATGACTACAAGCACAGGTTGATGCAGCTCCAATTCATCAACCAGAATAGGAACCCTGTTGTTGATGACTCTCACGACAGCGGAACCGACATCCCCGAAAGGTTGGTTGGCACCTCGGACATCTTCAAAAAGCCTTGCACGTGCATGGCCTCTCACTATTTCCAACGTTGCGACATCATCAAAAAAATGACGTGTGAATAATTTGCAGCTTTGATGGCCGAAAAGTGTGGGCCAACTGCTCTTCGCTCTTTTACATCCGCGACCAAGCAAACTGTGGTACGTAGCACTTGGTTAAGGTCCCTAGTGGCCCTAAGTAGTGTGAGAGTGTGTAAAATCAAAGTGCCATTTCTACAGGTTCATGCTGGGCCGTTTCATCGGCTGCTGCGATGTCTGATCGCATTTGCATTCACTCGAAAGGAGAAACACAGGTACTTCTTGATCTATTGAACAAAATTCCGCTCTGAATTCATGGAGCAATTTTCAGGTGGAGATCTCAGCCGATGACCTGGTGTCATGTTGCTCAGAATGCGGCTATGGGTAGGATCTCACGATTCGTTATCATTTCTCAAGCACTTTTCAAAGTTCTTGATCCTGTTTGAACATATTTTTGTTGTGAAGCGTTGCGCTAACTTCTTCCCATGCTCAGTTAAAGAGGCCCTTTCAGGCATTTGTGGGTGGTGGCCTTGCCAGTATCCACATGTCGCCCTATCCAGGTACGGTGTGTCCCCAGACAAGGTGACCTATATTAATACTGAACTAAATCCTTGAAGGATGCATGAATTGGCATTAGCCATATGCGCATTTTAAGGCCGCAGATTATAAAATAATAAACAACCTG